CCCCCACCCCCCCCATTCACTCTCTTTTGCAGCCCGCCGAATATTACCAATTGTGCTTGTAGTCCTTTCTGTGGTTGTGATATGCTTCGTCATTGCCTTATGCAGGTAAGATATTCATCTTTAACAACTTGTCATTGTTTTTTTTCATATTGCTCAACCTATATTGTCCTCTGAGTTATGCATAGCTGTTATACATCATGTATTGGTGTTATCCAATGTGTGAATATTGAAGCTAGTAAGTCCAAAGTCAACTTTAATGTCAATTTTTATATGTGTTTGTACAGCCAGAGAGATCGCAATAACGTTTCCAACAATCCCAAATACAATAATACAAATATACAAATATGTATACAAATATGTATAAATATGTATATCCTCTATACATATTTGTATGACAGTTCATGTTCATATTTTCTTTTTGAATATGGGTGTCTTATACTGTTTTTTGTTTCTAATCCCTTTTGTCTCTTAGTATTTTTGGGCGAGAGAACAAAGCGTGTCTTCCAAGTTTCTATTACAAAGTGCCAGATGCCCGTAACAGCCACATTTTCAAAAACAAGCACCTGGTAAGAGATTGACAAAGAAATTGCTAATTTGTCTTCTTACAGTATGTCAGAAAATGATTTAAACTGATTGTTGTTCTTGAGTTATGTTATTATTTTGCTAATCCAATGGTATCACCTTATCCCATTTACAACTACAATTCACGTTAGGTTGTCAAGTACTAGTTGGATTGTGTATAACCAAAACATAACAGAAGAGCCTGGCTAAATATTGGTTCTGTCTTTGATCTCCAATAGATTAGTGACTCTTTGGGTTGGATCTGCATTCCCCTCTTTGAGCCACATCCCAAGATCTCTTTGTTGGAGGTTGTGGAAATCCGAAGCAGGGTTATTAAGTCCTCCCTGGAAAAAGCCTCCGACCCTGAAGGATTAACAAGGCCAGTGATCGGAGATGAGTGTTCACAGATGGACAGTCAAGACGATAAGAGGGAGGAAGCTGTCCCAGAGGAGTGTCACAGGGCAGACCATAGATACGAAAGAGAAGAGTACAGCAAAATGGTTGACTCCGAAGAGGAGAGGGACAGGAAGGAGGAGAACGGGGAAGATTGCTTGAGCTCATCAGAGGAAGATCAGTCAATGTCGGGCTACGAAAAGCACTTTATGCCCACTACTTTTGAACTTAGAGTTTGATGTTTTCTCTATGAATGGACTGCATTTGAATGGATTGCATTTAGACAGTGAATGACCCCTCAAAGCTCAAAGTCAGAATTCACCCATTCACTCGCGTTCATACAGAGGCATAGGCTTCCATACAAGGTGCTACCTGCTCAGGGAGACTACACACAAGCCATTGGGAGCAATTTTGGGTTAAGTGTCATTGACGTATCGACATTCATCTCACATGTTTTTTCTTTTTTCTTTGAAATGTGCAGGACATGTTCAATGTAGAAATTTGATTTTAGACCATGACCCTCAGGAAAGGTTTCAGTAGCATCTCTGCACGCCCCAGGAGGGTGGGCGCAGGTCATTGGAAATGTACCAAAGCTTATCACAGTCAGGCAGTTTTTCTCTCTAACCTGACTTCTATATTTAAATATTACTTATTAAGCACATGGCAATCCCTTTCCTTACATTTCCTTTTTTAATTACATCTCAAATGTAGGCCCCCATTGTTGTGGGTAAGGCAAAACAACACATGTGGCCACAAACTGACAATTTACTGGGGGTGCAGTAAATAGTATTTATTTTATGGTCGACACATTAATCCAGACTGGACCCTACATATAAAGTAAATTAGGAATCATTTGTGATGATAGCACCACACATAATGACATGTATAAGTATCTCAGGATACTGTTTGGAATGTAAGTACATTTGCGTTGCGTTAGTATGTATAGTATGGATATTTAAAAGGAAAAGCCATGCTAAAACGTAGTTTTTCTAATCAGGTGTCCCTGAATGAATGCCCTATCCGTTGGCTGAGGATGTTTTTGTTCAATTTGAATTATTAACTTCCAGATAAGCTTGTGAATGTTGGACATTTGATCATGTGTTAATATGTAAAGCAGAAAAGCCCATAAACATAAAAATCAATTTAAGATCTACAGGAACTTTTGCTATTTTGAACCGACTGAATGTAAATGTTAAAATGTGATATCTGGAGTTAATTCATGATATATTTCTAGTAAGGCAATGTAACCACTTCCTTTTTAAACTGGTCTTTAATCCTTAACATTTCCTTGCACATTTGATATTGCATCTTTTACATGATATTGCATTTTTTACATGGTTTGTATGTGTAAATAAAGACATTTGAATTGTAGCCTAACTAATACACACTTTATTTAATATGAAAACGTTATAATATTCCTTTAATTCATGATCAAAACACCACCCGCATCCTGTAAATGCTTTCATGATTTATAACATATACATTTACCGTTATGTTAATTAATCCGTACCATCATATGTATTTATTATTATGATTTGTGCTTAATTTTTAATCATTATCATAAACATTTGAAAAAGCGACTCTGTAATCTCGCGTAGTTTGCGAAAATGGGTACTAAACGGAAGCCGCAATAGGTCAATTTCAATCGGTGTGCTCATTTGAACAAGAGGAACCGCTACGAAGCAGGGGAGGACAGCGGCCCAGTACGAAAACTCAACTTTCAACTAAATATTGTACGTAGAGTATGTTGCTTGTACTTTAACAAAACATTTATATTAGAGACATTTAACATCGAGGCCGTTTTATCGGGTAAGGTTTTCAGATACAACAAATATCAAGTGTCCGTTACATAGCCAGGCTAGTAGCATTAGCATCGCCAGTTGAAAACCGCTCAAGGCTTAGCAGCTAACGCCAGCTTGCCAAAACGTGTTCACCAAATGTGAACCCAGTATTGGCTGTGAATCACGTATTGAACGCAATGGCGTACTTTAACATTTAGGTGTTGTGTTCTTCTTAACATACAAGGTGGTACAGGGCCTCATTTTGATAGCAGACTGGTATTTTTCTGTTTTTATGCCGGGCACATTGTGACCAGTCGGGGGCTGCGCCTGTCGACCAGGCCCGAGCAAGAAGGGCAACTTTACCAGCACCAAGACAACTGTGTAAAGGCGTCTAAAACTGTGCGTTAACAACCGATATGTTCAGGATAACCGACAATATGCTTATCAATTGCCAACCAGGCCAGTCAAATATGCGTTAATTGGTTTAAACCACACATACTGCGAGCTATAGACCGGACATGGCGGCCCAGCTAAAGCTACATAGCTAACTTATTTCGCGACAACTTTACTAAAACCCGGATGAATACCACTCCTCTGTTAAATCGCTAGTGTCCCATCCACGTAGACGGTGTGGAATGTAGAGGGAAGATATTGAGACACAAAGCGTTTCTCTAACTTAGACCAGCAGACCGGGTGGCGCGGGGGTGGGGGAGGATTAACTTGGAGCGGCTAAGCCGGGTCACAAAGATTTTAGCTAGTCGTGTTGTCTAATGACCTGTTTTTTTTGTGTGCCCCAATCCGATGTGCATTAATAATTGTATGTGTTGGCAGGCTGGCACTTTGTGTGGCCTATCGTTTCCGCACTGCTCTTGTCTCTTAAAATTAGCCCGTAGCTAACTAGTAGGCCCCTATGTCCGCCTTGAACCTGCAACATGTGCACCTTCTTCCTACACATGTCCTTAGGCTATTCCCTTTCTTCTTCGATCATCTTGGAACTGATTGACTGACCGAAACGGTGACACCAAGTAGGGTCTGCAGAGGTTTATATAACCTTTGTATATTAAGAATTGACCCCCCCCTTTTTTTTCTTTTTTTTTTTAAAGAAAGGTATTTCATTGAGTGGCTTGAAAAGTCTCTACAACATGTGCAACTTCTTCCTACACATGCCCATAGGCTATTCCCTTTCTTCTTCGATCATCTAGTAAACTGGTTGATTGACTGAACATGTATCACAAAGAAGGGTCTGTTAGTTATAACATTTTATATCAAACATGGACCCTTTTTAGTAGAGTATTGCAATGACTGTTTAAAAAAAAAAAAAAAGTCTTCATAGAGCCATCAAATTGTGTTAGAAGTGATTACTAAAGATGTCATCAAAAGTAGCCAAACTTTTTTTTTTAATAGTTGATCTGTATGTTACTGTTCCCCCTGTTGGAAGAAAAAAAATCGCATGGAATCTTTTTCAGTTTCTGATTTGGGTTTTTAAATCAAATGTACGTAATTTATTTTTGCAATGCGATCTCATAGGAGAGGTAGTCCTTGGAAGGACAAGTATTTGGGTCGTTGTAAACAAATTTGAGTCGTACTCTTTTCGCTCTGCTAAAAGCCATAATAAAATAGATAATTGCCTCAGTATTTCCTAAACATCCACATAGTTTTTGGAGATGATGCATAAAAAAAAACATCTGACTGCCAGTGATGGTGTTTGTATTCATACTGTCTGATCCAAAAACCACTAACTACTTCTATGTAAACATTTTATATTGTGTGAATACTCTCTTTATGTGTATAGAAATACATTAATGTGGATTGGTTTTTGTACATGTTTGTTTTTCAGGATGGAGTGGCAGCCAGATGAGCAGGGACTTCAGCAGGTCCTCCAACTGCTCAAAGACTCACAATCCCCCAACACAGTCACACAGAGAGCTGTCCAACAAGTATCCTACTTCACTGCAATCTGGGTGTTAATAAAGCTAGTTTTCAATATTATTTTTCTGCCTGTCCAATAACATCAATGTTTTTAGTGCTAGTGCAAAGGGATTTTAACCCGCACAGTGTTCTTTATTTGTTTTTACTACTGCCATGTTATCAGAGTTGAATGTTATCCACATGTTTAGGATTTTACTGGAGCTCCTATATCTGAAACTTGCATCAGCTGCATAAGTCTTTTTTTCCATAGGGAGGAACTTGTAGTTCTACAAACCATTTTAATATTGTTCAGTTGTGAAACACATTGCTTGGTATAGAGATCAAAGGATAGTCACCTGACTTGAAAATTCAATATGAAATTATCCTTAACTGCCATGCTAGAAACTTGAACAACTCAACCAATTCCCCGACTTCAACAACTATCTCATCTTTGTACTCACGCGACTCAAAACTGAAGGTGAGACCCAGAGATCTTTTTTGCCATTTTGAACACACTTGTACTGTAGTCTAGTTTGTCAATTTTGCAGCTGTGATGGTATTATTTTGTTCCTGTTTTGAAAGGCCTTTTGTCTTTAAATTGTTCTTAGAAATGCAACAGAATCTACTTTACACTTGTGTTACAAAACTTTGATTGTATGAGTTTAGGTAGAACTGGTATCTCGACAGGAATATTGTCTATTCTGCATCTTGACTGGTTATTAGGAAAAGTGGGGCTTCTCCCCCCCCCCCCCCCCAGATCAGTCAAATAATTGGTTGTTTAGTGTTAGTCGACTAAGACTTAAGTCAATTAGTCATATGGCCGGCAGCCTGGTTGTTAGTGTCTGGACATGATGAAACACCCAGCTCATTGATTTACAATGATACCTTATGTTCCTATATTTTCTGATCCATATTTACCAAGGCTCTGCTGACAGCCCAATATAATAAAAAAACAAAATGGGTATTATCAGGGAAAGATATGCAAAATCCTAAATTCAACTTTCTTAAATATAGACACATTTTGTTGATGGGTTGTTAACCACCCTCAACTTTATTTAAACTTATTTTTGTTTATTTTCTCCGCAGACGAGCCGACTCGCTCTCTGAGCGGTCTGATACTGAAGAACAATGTTAAGGCCCACTACCAGAACTTCCCCCCAACCGTTGCTGAATTCATCAAACAGGAATGTCTCAACAACATCGGCGACCCCTCGCCGCTCATTCGTGCTACCATTGGTGAGTTTTTTGTTTTGTCTGTTTTATTCAAGTGTGATATAAAATTACTTTTGTGGCCTAGCTTCCCTCGACACTCACACTCCTCCCCTTGCCCTCTGGAGATGATGCATAAAAACATTTAAAACATCTGAATGCACATGAAGGGTTTTTGTATTCATACTGTCTGATCCAGAGCAGCTGCAGCCGCTCTGCATCCTGTAAACTATAAATCCCTATCTGACGTCTGCCATCCCCCGTTTCTCTCTCGCTCCTCTAGGCATCCTGATCACTACCATTGCCTCCAAAGGAGAGCTACAAACATGGCCTGAGCTGCTGCCTCAGCTCTGCAACTTGCTCAACTCGGAGGACTACAACACCTGCGAGGTCTGCACCCATGCTGCTCCGCTGTGTTCTTCCTTTGTTTTTAACCAATGAAAGGCTGGTTGTTTGTATCTGGACATGATGAAACACCCAGCTCATTGATTTACAATGATACCTAATGTTCCTATATTTTCTGATCCAGATTTTCCAATGCTCAGCCTTGTTGCTCAATAGTGATATTTAATTGAATCTCTGTTCGTTTTTTTATGTGTCAGCTCCTACTTCCGACTGTCATTTATTTTTGTTTTAGTTAAAGGTGGGGTAGGTAATTTGAGAAACCAGCTCGAGTGCGCTAGAATTTGGAAATACACAGCCGGAAAAAATCTGCCACTTCCTCACAGAGCTCCTCCTCCAACACATCCGACGCGCACATGACCAATGAGGGCACGAGATAAGTGTGTGCACAGATTGAAGGCTGACTGGCAGGTAGGCCATCCAGTTACTTTAGCCGGGCCGGCTCAGATGATTGGTCGCGCTTTTTACAGCGCCACGGCTTCCACAGATGTTTGTTTTTTTGTCAAAGCACTTCAGATATTCATTTCTATCGGGATGTTAAGAGCATTCCATGGAATATAACAAAGTGTATCTCGAGCCGGTTTCTCAAACTTACCAACCCCACCTTTAAGTCTGTGAGACATTTATAAATTCCCATTGTGAAAAATAACTGACTTGAGACAAAGTTTAGCATTTGTGACTTAAATGAATTGTGTTCAGTGCTTTGGTTGTATACTATGATGCAGTCTCACTCTCTCCTCTGTGTCCCTGTATGTTTGCGTTTGATTTGACAGCCTCTCTGTGTATGTCCGTGTCTCAGGGCTCGTTTGGAGCACTGCAGAAGATCTGCGAGGACTCTTCGGAGCTGCTCGACAGCGACGCTCTGAACAGACCTCTCAACATTATGATCCCCAAATTCCTCCAGTTCTTCAAGCACTGCAGCCCCAAGATTAGGTACAGGAGGGAAAGAGGCTCACTCTGATTGGTGTTTGTCATTATTTTCTGGATGTGATGCACAATATAACGTCTGACTTACAATGAAGGTGTTCGTATTCATACTGTCTGATCCAGATATCACCCTTTTACCACTTTAGAAATCACACTGAGTTGCAACTTAATAGTTAATTGCCGACTCAACATTTTTTTTGTGCCGCATTGTTGTGATCTAACTCTTTATTTTCAAAAGCACAAATTAATAATTTTGTGCTCACACTAAAACATGCCCTATGCAAGATGAGGTGTTTTTAAACACATTCATACAAGTTCAAACCAATCCTAATGTTGCTTTTGCCATAGGTTGTTGAGCTGTCACATTATGCATTCTGCCAAACTATCACTAATCCATCCCTCTGAGTGACTCAACTTTTTATTAATGTCCCTGCAGGTCTCATGCCATCGCCTGTGTGAACCAGTTCATCATCGGCAGAGCCCAGGCCCTAATGGACAACATCGACACATTCATAGAGGTACGCTGAGTGTTACGAAGGTTTACTGTCAAACATTTCAGTTTCACTGTATGACAAATACATACAGGACTGGGATGGCAATGGGAGTAATCTTTCACCTGGGAGAGCCTTTCCATAACAGGCTTTTTACATTTAAACTTGCAGTTGTACTTTTAAGTTTGTATCGCATCTGGACATGATGAAACACCCAGCTCATTGATATACAATGATACCTAATGTTCCTATATTTTCTGATCCAGATTTGCTAAGGCTCTATGCATAGCTGAAGCTTGATCTGACTGTATTGCTGCGTTTGAGTAGCAGTCCAGAGAAAGTAGAGTTTGCCTCGTTGTTAAACATTTTCTTGTATTCATCCCAACGTGTTATTTCCCCCTCCCAAAAAACAGAGTCTTTTTGCGCTGGCAGCAGATGAGGACTCTGAGGTTCGAAAGAACGTGTGCCGAGCCCTCGTCATGTTACTGGAGGTCCGCGTCGACCGCCTCATCCCACACATGCACAGCATCATCCAGGTAAGCGTTGGACATTTCCTCAATCAACTGTGTACCTCCATTTAAAATGTCTTTAATGGTATGTTCCCAAAAACACAAAGCGAATCGTTTTTTGCTGCTCTATTACATATAAAGTCAATGCAAGGACACACATTTGCATTTTGCACCAGCAGACATTGGCATATGTTAAGCTGCTGAGAAGTTAAATTGAAGCAAAGTGTCTCAATGGAATATGATAAGCAGAAATGATCCTACGTTCAAGCTCGCAAAGTGACTCGAGGCAACATTTCCTGTTAACATGGCATAAGTCAGTCTTATATCTGGACATGATGAAACACCCAGCTCATTGATTTTTGTAAATCAATGAGCTGGGTGTTTCATCATGTCCAGATATAAGACTGACTTATGCCATGTTAACAGGAAATGTTGCCTCGAGTCACTTTGCGAGCTTGAACGTNCCGTTCAACATGGTGCCCCTTCCCCAGACTGCAACTTCTTCATTCCGGGCTTTGCCCCGCTGAACCAGTCGTGGCGGCCAGCAGTACATAGAGAGACTGCTTCAGACCTAATTTGAATAAAATTTATGCTTTGTACTCTGTGTAAAATGACATTTTTGAGATGTATAGTACTATTCATTATTACAGATTTTAATAATGCAATCAAGTAGTGTTGAATTATATATTTGATGGTCTTTCTGTGTTGTCGTGTGTCTGAGCTTTCATTTAGCAGATGTTCGACTCCAAGAACATGATGGCGTCAGCCTGTCGCCCGCGCCCACGGCCGCTACCTCACGGTAGCCGCCATCTTCAGAGGCCGCATGTCCATGAAGGAAGTGGATGAGCAGATGTTGAATGCACAGAACAAAAACAGCAGCTACTTCGTTGAGTGGATCCCAAACAACGTGAAGACTGCCGTCTGCGACATTCCTCCCCGTGGCCTCAAGATGGCCGCCACCTTCATCGGCAACAGCACGGCCATTCAGGAGCTGTTCAAGCGCATCTCAGAGCAATTCACTGCCATGTTCCGCCGCAAGGCCTTCCTCCACTGGTGAGTGAAATAATAATGATGAGACTGGGAGAAGTTACTCTACCTGTGCTGGACCTTTTTATATGTAGGGAACAATTTAGTTGAATGCTTTCTTTATCTCTATGACGTTATTTTGTGCGGACAGAGTATTATCTGTCTGTTCATGGTTTTTACTAATCAGTATCAGTTTGTAGTTATTACGGCACCATTTTAATATGTGTATTAAATGTATACGTGTACAATTAAGCATGGCAAAATATCTTTTTTTGGTGGGCATCTACATGGATATAAGCCCTGCTTCCTTGCCAGAGCGTGTAGTTTGAGTTACACGAGTATACACAAATGATACTGCGGTAAAACTCCAAATTGATTATTCTTCCAAAATGTTACTAGATTAATTGTTCGATCTACTGAATGTCCAAACGTTTAAAAAAACAATTTGCAATTATTATTACTGACAATTGTATGCATCAGTCATTTCATAACCCCAAATCTCTCCTAATACAAAAACACAAATTGGAATTTTAATTTTTCTACATAAATATTGACAGTTGTTTGCAGTGAGTAACATTTCCTTGTTTCAGGTACACTGGCGAGGGCATGGATGAGATGGAGTTCACAGAGGCTGAGAGCAACATGAACGACCTGGTGTCTGAGTACCAGCAGTACCAGGACGCCACTGCTGAGGAGGAGGGCGAGTTTGAAGAGGAGGGCGAATATGAAGATGGAGCCTAGATGCCCATAACAACCTTTTTCTCTCCCAATGCAACAGTTAATTAAAGAAGTCATATTATGCTTAGTTCAAGGGACCGATTTGCATTTTGTGCCTCTTCTGTGACATGTTTACATGGCTTAATGTTCAAAACGTGCTTTATTTTTCTCATTCTGCTGCTGTATTCATTTGTGATAATGTAACAGTGACCAGACCAGGGGACTAATCACTGAATGTGACAATTACTGTCTGATGTGCAGTGTTATTCTTTTGCCAAAAAAAATCATAGTTTACACTAAAAGCTACACATAGTGTCAGGAACTTGTCTCTGTTATAATATTCCTGATGTGCTTGTAGTGGTAAATTGGGATCAAATGTGATTTTAATAAAGATGTATTATTTGGTTCCAAATGGTGTTACTTTTGGCTCAACTGAACTATGACCAATGATTTATTTACTGAACTTATGAAGTAGTCTCATTTGTTAGCTTGAATTGAAGCCAATTGCTGCCAATAAGATTGAGAAAAGGGTACTCCGTAACTATCTCAAAAATTATGATTTTGAACAACATTAAAGATTCAGATCGAACACTCATTTACTAAGTACTTTCAATACTTGTAATTAAAAAGATTAAATCACTTTTCTTTAAGCACCCTTTTAAACTATCAAATTGAAGTACACACATTGTCACATGCTTGAACCTCCAAAGTAGGTTATCTAGTATTTTGTCTAAAACAGAAACAAGCTTATACTTTTGACCCATACATTAATTCCTTTCTGTTTAGCCTCTTGTCTTATCCGAAAAACAACATTGAAGACAGAGGGCATCTTCTGTCTGAAAACTCATTTCTTATATTTCAGCCAGTCTAATTCTTCAAGTGTAAATATAGTACACAAATTATATGTATACAAGCTTACATTACTGGCCAAATGAAACCTTGTGCATCAGATAAAATGCTATTAGGCCCTCTTTCACCCTCTTGTGACTAAATAGATTATTAATTCCCCTTCCTCTGTACTGACCTAGCGTGAGGGATTAGTAGAATATCCAACTAATGGTGCTGATTTTGAGACAATGGGCCTCTGCCCTGTGTACAGACATGCAGAAGGCCCCACAATCTCCTACATTGCAGCAGCGCCATAGCAGCATTGCACACTGAGCTGTTAATCCTCCGGTATTGTTTATTTCTGGTTGATATATCTAGGCCTACCGTACTACCTCTGAAGTGTAGCCTGCTAGTCACCTTATAAACGCACAAAACAATTTGTATCTATTGTCATAGATACAAATTGTGACTATCTTATCTATTCTTTATTTGAGCAGCAGGAAGGCTTGTGTACTAGAGAAGAAAATAAAATGAATACTAAAATGTAAGATAGGTTGTTTTTTAATTCAAACTACTAAATTAAGAATTATACATGCAAAGTACCTCTACTGAAACGCTGTTGTGTTGTGTTACCAAGACAACCTAGCCCCCTTACCAGTCAAAACTCTAAACCAAGTTTTTCGACCAATAAGATGACTGCTGAGCTTTGAGTGACATGAATTTGGACCTATCGCGTTAATCGGCCAACAGTAGATTGATACACTCCCATCCTCTCCAGTTAGTTGGTAGCTGGATCACTACAGAGTAACAACTTTATCTTTTTCAGGCGTTTGAGCGTTTTTAATTCAACCAACATGAGGGAAATCGTGCACCTACAGGCAGGCCAGTGTGGAAATCAAATTGGAGCTAAAGTAAGAGTAATTTATATGTAAAAGTGAATTCTTAAGTCATTCATAAAGTGCGTGGATGTTTACATTTCTTTGGGTGGGCTGATTAGCCCAGTTAACAACAATTATAATGATAGCTACCTACTCGTTAAGCTAAGTCATGCTAGTTATCAGTTATTTTGACCGTTGTTGTGTTCAATTCTCTTCTAGTTTTGGGAAGTGATTAGCGATGAACATGGCATCGACCCGTCCGGGACATACCATGGGGACAGCGACCTGCAGTTGGAGCGAATTAACGTGTATTTCAACGAGGCTTCAGGTTAGCTTCTCTTTGGCCGCGAGCTACAGTTGGGTAATCTAGTTAAATAAAGATGTAACTAAGGTAACTCTATACAACGCGGAAGGATTGTTAATCGGCCTAACGGAGCCACCTAGCGGCGGATCCCTCCGCTGGAAGCGTCTGGAACTACAATGGGGCGATGCTCGGCTCTCCTTCCTAATTACTGTCGCAGTTTCCAGGATACGGCAAAAGTCAACAAAACCTCCAGATAATAATACTGTCTCAAACAACAATAGCGCTTTAACTTCTTATAATATTCTGTGGAGATATATTAGAGAGCAACTTTGTTTATTTAGAATTGTACTTAATTTAATCAATTAGACCTATATTTTCAAGAAACTATAAGCTTTTAATGTAATCAATTACTGTGTACACTTGACTGTATTAACATGCAACAAAAACAATTGTAAAAAATAATTCAGTTAGTCAAAAGGCAAAATATGTTATTAAACTTAATTAAAAGAGGAATAAAGACAAACTGGGTGTAGCTTTAGTAATAGTACAATGCTTTGGAAACAAAAAAAACTTAATTTAGAAAAATGTATTGTCTTGTGTTCGGATCACCAGGTGGAAAGTATGTCCCCCGGGCAGTGCTGGTGGACTTGGAGCCTGGCACCATGGACTCAGTGAGGTCCGGTCCCTTTGGCCAGATCTTTAGACCAGACAACTTTGTCTTTGGTGAGATTATGAACATTTATTTTGTTTTATCCTGGGTTGATGAAGTTGCCATACTGTGATTAATGATAATTGAACAATTTAATTGAAAAAGAGTTCACAGAGATTAACAATAGAAAACCCCCATTTTAAATGTAACTATCGTTCTTTTTAATTGCAACACAAAAAAATTCCATGACAAAAAATCACATAATGTTTTTAACTCAACAAGCATTTTTCTTGTGTTTTAGCAGTATATCTATGTATAGCAGTATGCTTTAATGTGTTTATACTTATCTTGATTAATTATTCATATATATATATATATATATATATGGCTATCATAGCGTATATTTTCCGTATATTATGCAGCCCTGATCTAGTTTCACTCATAACTCTTTAAATTAGTACCTGCAAAAGTATAATGACTTCCTTTATAATGTAGACCCAGGATGTGTTGACACCACAGCTTTGATAGAGTTGTGTGTTTGCATGTGACACAGGCCAGAGCGGAGCTGGTAATAACTGGGCTAAAGGTCACTACACTGAGGGAGCCGAGCTGGTGGACTCGGTCCTGGATGTGGTGAGGAAGGAGGCGGAGAGCTGTGACTGCCTGCAGGGCTTCCAGCTCACACACTCCCTGGGTGGAGGAACCGGCTCGGGCATGGGCACGCTGCTCATCAGCAAAATCCGAGAGGAGTATCCAGACCGCATCATGACCACTTTCAGTGTGGTGCCTTCGCCTAAGGTGCTTATAATACACCAAAATACTCCAACATTAACTATTTTTCTCCTCTTACTTCTGCTTTAATGCAACTCCTTCTCCCTCCCCCGACCTCAGGTTTCAGACACAGTGGTGGAGCCATACAACGCCACCCTCTCGGTCCACCAGCTGGTGGAGAACACAGATGAGACCTTCTGCATTGATAATGAGGCGCTGTATGACATCTGTTTCCGCACGCTGAAGCTCACCACCCCCACCTATGGAGACCTCAACCACCTCGTCTCAGCCACCATGAGCGGGGTGACCACATGTCTGCGCTTCCCCGGCCAGCTCAATGCTGATCTGAGGAAACTGGCCGTCAACATGGTGCCCTTCCCCAGACTGCACTTCTTCATTCCGGGCTTTGCCCCGCTGACCAGTCGTGGCGGCCAGCAGTACAGGTAGAGAGACTGTCAGACCCTCAAGTTTGAATAGAAGGAATTTTATTGCCTTTGTACTCTGGGTAAAATGACATTTTGAGATGCTTATAGTACTATTCATTTATTACAGATTATTTTAATTAATGCTAATCCATGAATGTTAATTTGATTGATGCTTTAAATATGATATTTGATGGTCGTGTCTTCGCTGCAGGTCGTTGACTGTTCCTGAAGGCTCACCGAAACCAGGCAGATGTTCCGACTCAAGAACATGATGGCAGCCTGTGACGCCGGCGGGCCACGGCCAGCCTACGCCGCTCAACGTAACGCCGGCCATCTTTCAGAGGCCGGCAATGTTCCATGAAGGAAGCTGGCTGAGGGCAGATGTTGAATGGCAGCAGAACAGAAACAGGCAGGCTGAGCGTTCGTTGAAGTGATCCCAGAACACGCGCCGTCTGCGACATTCCACCCCTCCCGTGGCCTCAAAGATGGCGGCCAACTTCCATCGGCAACAGCAACGGGCACATGGTCAGCGGAGCCTGTTCAAGGCGGCATCTCAGAGCAAATTCACTGGGCGCATGTTCGCGCCGCAAGGCCTTCCTCCACTGGTGAGTGAAATAATAATGATGGAGAACTGGGAGAAAGTTTACTCTACCTGTGGCTGGACCTTTAATGTAGGGAACAAATTTAGGTTGAATGCTGTTCGTTTGAATCTCTATGACGTTATTGCTTGCGCATGCTTAATTGTAACACAGTATACATTGTAATACACATATTGAAAGATGGTGCCCGTAATAACTACAAACTGATACTGTTAGTAAAACCATGAACAGAACGGATAACTACTCCTGTCCGCACAAAAATAACGTCATAGCAGATAAAGGNGTACCATTTAAAATAAAATAAAAAAGTGCCAGTGATTGACCTCAATCCCTCCTATTCTTCCAATATCCTGATGAAAAATAAAATCTCTCTGTTGCATAGGCCACTGTTTGATCAACGCGAATTGGGTGTGGGTCCTTGTACTCCGAGTCGGGCTAGCTTCCACGCTAGCTGCTATATGTTTTGCATTGAGGTGATACTTGAGGCTTGATGTGCTGCGGTGATATGCGAATTCCTTTTTGCATAATTTGCAAACAACCCTGCTATCATCGATGCTTCCATCCGTCCGTTTTTTAAAACAAAATGTCCCATCCACCGGGCCAACCAAAGCGGTCTCATCAGCTTGTTCGTTCGTGTTTGACTATTGTTCACTGTGGTTTGTTGTTGTTTGAAGTCATGANATGAACGTTAGTTGGTGCTCCAGTATAATCGGTACCCCTGAAACTCATCCAGTGAGAAACGTTCCGCGGTGCAAAAATAAGTGCGATTAAAATGCGTTAATTTTTTGAACGCGTTAATTTTTGTGTAATTAATTAATCTTCATTAACGCGTTAAAGTCCCGGCCCTAGCTCAAACATAAACACCTGTGTGTTGGAGATATGACATGATGATGTCATAACTCCAACTGACAAGCTCAGAACGCCACCAAACATCACATGATGGTTAATACTGTGGCCCTGAACAGCTCTACATCAAATCTGATGTTACATAATGTGGTGTTACCATGAAAACGCATTCCTCGCCATAAAACTATGTCGCTGTAACTCCAATGGAACATCCCTTGCCAAAAAACACGATATTGTCGTAACTTTGATACCTATGCAAATGGTCAAAACAGCAACAGACTTCAGATAATGGTTAATGGTCCGGCCCTCAACAGCTCTGTCAATTATGGGGTGTAATCATATGCCGTTTCCATGGAAACGCATCCCTCGCCATAAAACACGATGTCGCTGTAATTCGAATGGATCCGATCGTCTCCCAAACTTCGCTTGTATATCACCGATCCATGCCTCAACTGCTCTATGCCAAATCTGAGATCTCAACATGGGCTGTTTCTTGGAAACGCAACACTCGCCAAAAAACACAATGTCGTAACGCCTATGAAAAGGGTCAAAACAGCACCAAACTTCAGATAATGGTTAATGGTCCGGCCCTCAATGGCTGTCAATTATCGGTTGTCCTCATGTGCCGTTTCCATGGAAACGCATCCCTCGCCATAAAACACGATGTTGTCGTAACTCATATGAAAATGGTCAAAACAGCACCAGACTTCCTGATGGCTATTGGTCCAGCCTTCAACATGTCTATGTGCCATTAGTGAGTTTTTCTCAAAAGCTGTTGCCATTGCAACGCATCCTTCGCCGTAAAACACGATATTGCTATAACTCCTTATGAAAATCGTCAAAGTGCTGAAACTTCGCATGTGCTAAAAGGCCATCTGACGACATCTACGTGACTGTTTCTTCAAATGCCGTTGCCATGGTAACACAAGGCTCGCCATGAAACACGGTTTTCTCATAACTTCAGCGAAAATGCTCCTAACGGCCCAAACCTTCACCGGTTTGGTAAAGATGCAGCCATCCACACATTTAAGTGTATTATGGGGTGTCATCAAATGCCGTTGCAATGGCGACAGATCACTCGCCATCAAGTTAGTTCAAAAGTTAGCAGTTCAAATATTCTGCTGCTTTTCCAAGCCTTTTTACTTTTTCTTCTATCACACATTCAAGCCCCCAGTGTTCATGTATAATTTCATTCTAAATTCTTCACTTTCTTCTTACACATAACATTTCAGCATAGCAGTTCAGCGTCAGCTTTTCAGCATTAAGCATTCCCACTAGCAATTTCTTCAGGAATTGTATTCTCTAGTTAATATAAGCTCTTCAGTTTCTCGTATCTGATTTTAATTTCTTTCCTCTCTCTTTTCCCCAGGTTAATGTAGGGGAGGGTTACTGGGGAACTCATTGCACTGCCCAGATTGTGGGGAGAAACACGAGCTGGAGGGATGTGACCGGCTTTGACCCTCCACTCAGCGGACAGCCCCCTTTCCCCCCGCACCCTGTGTGTCTCTCTGAGGGAGGGAGGGTGGGAGGAGGGTGGTGGGTGTGGGAGGGTAAACTGGGGATATACATATACCTCTCGGGTTAAACGCCTCACTAAATCCAACTCACTCTAAAGTGACTTTCGCCCACAGGGATCCTAGGTGAGGTAGGTGAGGCTGGCTTCGACCGCCCCCTCCTCCATTTGATTATTTTGTTATGATGGGTGACGGCTGGGAGGGCAGGGGAGGGGGGGTTGGCAGATAGGTACATAAAAAGGAATGATCTGAACCAGCGTAGGGTGCCACAGTCCCAAACACCACATGCACGTAGTCCGTAGACTCGCACACATAGATGTGATTTAATCAGGCTCGTGCCAGAGGCTAAACTAAAAGAGGCTTTTACTAAGTAACGATGCAGGAAATGTGCACAAATAGTTTGCACCTTTTACTAAGAAATTGCATAAACCATTTGGTGTGCATATACATGAGTCTTCTCTTTTCACATGTACATTTAGCTGAATTTAATTTCCTTCCTCTTCCCTCAGTTACTGAGTTCCTCTCCAATCATAGGCCTCTTGTTTTCCTCTTCGTTTGAGGCTAAAGAAGACGCAGTAGGACTAAGGTTTTACCACCGCAGTACCAAGCTATTGCATGGCATATGATCACCTCTTAAGTGACGCATGTTTAAGTGAATGTTGGTCTTGTTGCTCACTTGATTTCTTATTAGAGTAATTGTCATCAGTTTGAAGCTGTCAGGTGCTTGGTTCGTTTGTCCTCCCATCCATACATATTGACTAATCAATGTCCCTTTTAGTTTAATGGAGGCTGTGCTTGTGAAGACCAATTCTAGGCAGATGAATACAGGAATTAGCTTAATATCTGATTGTTTGGAGAATCCCTCTGCATCAAGAGTTCAAATACTGTAGGTAAGTTGAGAAGCCTTTTTGCTGCTGTTGCTTCATTTTAAGAGACTTCACGAAAACAGACTAAATGAGAGCGATAAGACATCACCAAAAATGAATTGGTTCTTACTCATATAAATGCACTTTTTTCTTTTTGTAAGAAATTGAGAATTTCAAATGTAAGAAACAGTAATAATGTACTGATCTTTAGACATTGTTTTTTTGATAAGTGATTTTAGGACTGTTAATGGCTTGCTGAAGTAAGCGTAATGATATTAAATGGTAAAATGACTAGGTAAGACATGAGGCTTCTTAACAGAGTTAGTTTTATAATGTAGCTCCTAAGATGGATCGAATAGGATTTAAGAGGGAGACATCTTAATTGCAGTATTTTGGATCTTTGTAAACCTATCAATCCACTTCTGTGTTTGAGAGTCCCCGTCTTTCTGACCAAAGCTTTTCGTGAAATGGCGGCTGCTCGTGCCATCGAGGCTCCTGGTCATAGTCATTGCATGCTTCTCAGTCTTGCTCCAGTTTTCTTTTTTAAAGTAATTTTTATAATGGATCCATTTGAAGGGATCTACCTTATAAGAGCTTTGTCAATGGCAATGTCACTCTGCTGGACTAATAAGGTACTTCTCCAGCTTCTGATCAAACTAGTGATTGTTGTTGCCATATATTCACCCGTTAATACTGTGTAGGATTTGCCTGGGAATACACTGACTTTCGAGTCCAAATGGTTCTCCCCTGACACTGGTTAGCTTATGTGAGAGTGGTGGTCTTTATCCAGCTTTATCTTTTAGTCTTTGTCCATAGTGGATGGTTGTAATGGAAGTGTGTATGGCTGTTTTCTTGTTGGTGTTTTTACTATAAAGGTGAGTACGTGAGTACTGCTTAGATGTAATATTGCACCAGCCCTACAATAAAGTTATGTCAGGAAAGTTAATATGGCCACTTGGAGCTTCAACCTTCGCCTGCCAGTTATCACCACTCAAATCCCACTATGGCAAAAAGTCCAAATCTATTTCCTGACTTGATGGGTTAAGTTTCCTTAACACCTTACAGGGTGGATACTAATGGCATCTTCTCCGAGTTTACCTGAAGGCAAGCGTTGAGTTTGGAGGCGGCCATTTGCTAATCACAGCCTCGACACATCAGTTCTTGGAGCAGCAACCGGTGAAGAATTAATTGCCTGAATCACGCAGAAGGATGCAGCTCCTGGGCCACGAGAATTGGTTAAGAGTTGACCACTCTTCACCATGTTGGGATACACTAAGCGATATACAGAAGTAAATTCAAATGCAAGATGTCCACTGGTTGTTTTTTTTTTTTATTGTTTTTTTATTTTGATACACATGTGACAGTTTTGTTTTTATTAATTTATTTGGTTTCTGATTTTTTTTTTTTTGTGCCCCAGTGCACAAATTTCTTTTGGACTTTAAAAGTTTTTTTTTCCTTTCTTTTTATTTAAA